CCATACCACACACTTACAAATAATCCATCACCCTAGGAATCCATTTCTTCTGTTCCATTCATAAGAACTGACCCATCAGTACTGAGTGATGGGAGGAACAAAACAGAAGCAACTTCATTTGCCAAGATTTGTAAAGCATGCCGACGAGTGTCTTGTTCTTGTAGGATGAGCTGTCAAAATAGTGTGTTTGCCTTTTCCTTCATCAGCTAAAAAAAAACCACATCCAAGACCTAGGGAATAAGTGGTTTGCATTTATGGTCTCCAGCTTTTATTGTGATTATTTGTTCCTGCCTCTTGCACGGGGTAGAAACATCTCTCATTTGAAATCAGTGGTATGTGAGATCAAGGCACAACTTGCAGACGGGGCTTCTGCACATTCATTGGTGTCTTCTATTATTTTAATGCTATGGAGTTTTTAATTTTGAAAATAGATAATACATTTATAAGTTTTTAAACCGTCACGTAAAAAGACAGATCATGAGAATTCTTCCCTCATCCTTTGTGTTCTCTTCACTCACTTCTCAGCCTGACAATAGACCATGCCCGTCACAGGCACAGGCATACTGTTGAGTGTTCCTTATCTGAAATCCCTTTGTGGTAATTTAGGATTGAGGGCTCTTACAGGTTTTATAGTCTTTACATGTATATCATGAGATGTTAATAAAGTTTGATGGGTTGGGGAGATGGCACAGTGGAGAGGAGCATGGGCCATGTAAGGATCAACACCTAATTTAATGCCCCGAACTCAAATCAGCACAGCCAAGCATGGCACATGCCTGCAACCTCTGTAACCCCTAGTGCCAGCATAGGCAGAGACAGCTGAACCTACAGTGTTCACTGGCCTGCCGGGCTAGCAAAAGCAACAGGGTTTAGCCGTAGTGAGAGACTGTATCTGAAGGTGTTCAGGCTGAGAGTGATGGAGTGGGAAACTTGGTGTTCTCTTCTGATTTCTGTATGCACGTGCATGGATACATGGATACATGCACTCATGTACACAGTTATGTCACACACACACACACAGAGAGAGAGAGAGAGAGAGAGAGAGAGAGAGAGAGAGAGAGAGAGAGAGAGAGAGATACAGCTACGGAGGGCTAAGAGGGCTTAGAGATGCTGAATTTACTGCATTTGGGTTGCAGCTAGTCCCATGAAGCCAAGTGAATGGCATAACTCAGGGAGTCATGTCAGTGCTCAAAACACTTTGATTTGGGTATTCTGTATTTCATATCTTCATATGTTCTTACAGATTTTCAATGTGCCTAGAGGTTCCCACTTTGCTCCTGTGTTCTAGATTTATAGCTAAGGGTTTATGTTGGGCCTCTTTACTTCATACCAAAAGAATACTTTTTTTTACAGCTGTACAGTCTTCTATCATGTTGACCTGATAGAGTCTATGAAACAAGAAACAGTTAACTATTTAGACAGCCATCAACTCTTGTAAGCCACCATCAGTTTGTGTTATTCATCTGTCACTTTGGGCCTGGGCAAGCCTATTTCATGGACAAGTTCTTATGAAATTTGCAAGCCGGCTCTCTGCTGCCATCTTGTTCAACAAGCTTGTTGGTACTGCTCTGTGAGCATGGTGGCCTTGGTGAAGGAGGCAGGGCATTTTGATGACAGGAAAGCTAGGTTCTGATCAGGATTTGATCAGGGAAACAGTCTATACAGTGGAAGGACAAGGGCTGGATAGAGAAACTGGAGCCATTTGAGCACAACAGATGAAGGCCCTAGAAAGAGTGAGATGACAGGTAAATGAACTAGCTCCATGGAGAGTTAGAACTGATTGCAAAACCCAAGAAACTATATCCGTAAATCATATCCCCGAGCTTGCTCTGCTGCAGGGCGACCAGAGAGGAGGACCTAGAGAGAGACCCGAGGAATTGGGTCACAAGGAGTAGTAGCATGGAGGTGCTGTTGGTCAGCAGGGTAGCCCAGTGGGTGCCCAGGAGTAGTGCCAGGGAGAGCCTGTGTCTCTGGCCCCTTTACTACTTGTGTCCAGCTCTACTTCCAATCAGTGACCTTCTGAGGGCCACTACTAGTTCACAGGGGAGGGGAAGTGATTGTCACTGCCCTTTGTGGTCCCTAGCTGGAATAGATGCCTTCTAACAAGGGACATGCAGAAACAAGAGGGGTATTCATAGCACATGCCGCGGGTTACATGGGGGTTACCCAGGGAAATGAGTGACTCACACGGACGCAGCTTTCAATCCAGACTTAGGATACAGGAAAGCTGGTGATGGGGAAGTGACCAGGAAAAGTGTACCCAGCAAAGGATTTGTTCTTTGGATCCACTTGGCACATTCTACATTACCTCATCTTCCTAGTACAGAAAGGAGACACTGCTACAGATGGAAATTTCTGAGCCCTGGCTACTCAGGAGACCGAGGCCAGAGGATCATTTGAGTCCAGGAATCTGAAGCCAGTCTGAGCAATGAAGCAAGCCTTCATGTCTCATTAAGTATAAATACAATATTTCCTTTATACAACGGGACCTTAGACACATAATTTCCATACCCGTGGCTTCGGTGAACTGCAGATAATCAGGGAGAATTGTGTCTGCACCCAACTTAAACAGAATTTGTTATGTCATATTCCCCAAGCAATGCATCCACAGCGTCACATTGTATTAGATATAAAATCATCTAGACATGGTTTTATGCATACAGAAGTAGGTGTATAGGACATATACTATTTTTTTAATCTGGGACTCGGGCATCTGTAGAGTCTGATATTTGTGGTATCTTGGAACCCAGTATTCTTGGGTCTGCAGGAACCACTGACTGTAAATTTCTGTTTAAAAACTGGTGGCTTCTGTGTTGTCCCATCTTCTATTTTGTAAATATCTTCAAATGTACAGCTCAGAATAGTCTTTGTGCGAAAGAGGCCTATTCTGGGATAGCGTATTCTGATCTGTGACTCCTGGCTTCCACGCCATGCTGCGCTTTCCTGCGTAGCTCCAGCCCATGCCAAAGAGGGACCTCTGAACAGCTCCCGGCCTTCAAACGGCAAGTGTGTCAAGCAGGCAGCCCAGATTCAGCTTGATAGCTCAACGTGCTTGTGTGCCTGGGAGGGGCATACCATGGATCCAAGGGAGTAGGGATGAAGTGGAGGAAAACCATGAACAGACAGGAAAACATAGCCATGAGTTGTCCCTGCGTGTTAGCATGGGAACAGAGAGACAATGCCAAGGAAGATGGACACGGTATTGCCAGAAAAAGCAAAGGGGAACCCAAAGACTGGAGGCCTGGGAGACAGGGAGCAGGCATAGCCGCCCTGAGAGGAGAACGTGGATGCCAATGGCGAACGTCATGAGATCTGATGTCTACCAGTGGAGACAGAAGCCGGTCAGAATGAGATGAGAACAGGGCCCGTGAGGTGTGAGCAGTAAGTGTCAGCGGCTGGAGAGGTTTGCCTGTGACCCCCCGGTGACCATACCCATACACTCTTCCCTTGGTAAAGGATGGGATGACGTGGTGAACTTCAGCTGGGGAAAAATCCTGCTTCCTAGTAAAGGCAGAGGCCAAGCTGTCTGCCTGTGTATTCTGAAGTCGGTGTCTAGATCTCATCCAATGCCAGGCAACGTGATGCAAGGAAATGCTCAGAAAAGTGTATGGAACACACAGTCTTGTCCCAGGATGCTACTGGCTGACAGTCCCCATATACTCTGTGGGGCATCATTAGGTCAGGGCTCAGAGGGTCCACGGTGGGGACTGGGGATCTGCTCAGCTGGAGGAGGGCTGGTAAAGGTGTGTGGTGTCTATGTTAGATACGGTTCAGCCAGGTAAAGTCACTCCGGATAAGACAAGGAGTAGAGAGTGTCAGGCCTTAACACCCATGTATGTAGCCCTGGGGACACCATTTAGAAAATGTATAGCTAGCAGGTCCCATCTGCCCCACATAGCCATGCAGGGTAGCCCTAGTGAGGGTAAACTTAGAGAGTTGGGACACCTCTGAAGCTATCTCATATCGGACAAGATCCCCCATATCTGTAAAATATCCTGTGGCGAAGAAGCAGGACAGAAGAGGAGAATCAGAGGCTTGCTTTGCCTGAATCCTCAGGAGTGTTCACCTGCTGGGCATGCGCTCAGAAAGCCAATCAGCTCTGCAAAGGAAGCAATGAATCATTTATGATTGTTTTCGCTTTGTATTCATTAAAGGCCTCTGCACTATTATTATCGAACCTTAATTGGCTTGGCACTCTGAACAGCCTCCTCCAGCCCCTGCTCCTCCCTCGGCGATCAGAAATTCCTGGAGCGAGCTAGCAAGCTTGCAGGAGAGTACCAGAGCAAACCTTGCTTGGGAACAGGGGCTGCGGATCCAGAAGATCACATGGAACTTGGTCGCTTTTCTTTCTCCTCTCTGATCATATATTAATAAATGTATCCCATCAGGCTCTTGCTCTACTCCCTGTGAGCCACTGTCATCTGCCTAGAATCTCTTAGCTCCCTCTGCTTCCCCAGCCACTGGGCAAGTGCTCCATCAGCTTCCTCCCATCAGAATCTCCCAGGCACAATGGTTCCATGCATGACAGCGTGCATTCTTTGTTCTGAGTGCCATGCCAGGCACTGAACCAGCAACAATATGTGGGCTACCTGATTTACTTCTTTTAATACACTTCGGTGTAATTATAACTGCATAAAGGGAAGACAAATTGGCAAGTAATTACGATGTTAATTTGGCAATGTTTTATCATATTGTAGAAGCACAATTTCCTCTCTAATTGTATTGGGGGGACACATTTATCTACAGTGAAGCTTATTGAAGGTTTCTGAAGAGTGGAAATGAAATACGCAGGAGACAGGGAAACCAGCTCTCCTCCCCATAAATATTACTTTATTTGCATGTGTTTTTGCAGCCTCCTTAAAAAGCTAACTCGTTTATTCAGGCCCAATTAATGGAATGCCATAGAATGTATAATTAGGCTGTGACAGCTTAGCTGATGGATTGCCTCGGGTGTGGAAACCAGAGACACCCCCAGTTTAAATGGTGAACCTTTCTTTCAGAACCTCACAGGCTGTGCATGCCTCACCACCGTCCCCCTGGAGAACGCCACCGTGGTTCCAGGAAAATGTCCCAGTCCTGGGTGCCAAGAAGCCTTCCTAACCTTCCTCTGTGTGATGTGTGTGTGCAGCTTGATCGGGGCCATGGCCCAAACCCCCTCTGTCATCATCCTCATCAGGTAAGCTGCCCACTGAGCCCCGAGTATTGAGAGCCAGCCTGGCCTGTGTCCTTCCACCTGGCACACGTCTGCAAGGCTCCCTTGTCAGGGCCATGGGAGTCCTGCCAGCGGGGTGAGAAGGGGCCAGGAACGCAGCCGCTCTAGGCGAAGAGGAACCAGTTAGGAGCCGTCCACAGTTAGGACCTCACTGCAGAACAGGGCAGCGGTAGAAGGCCACTTTCACAGCCTCCCAGGAATAACCTGCGAGTTAGAGGCACGCCTCATTAGACGCATAAGGAAGGCAGTTCAAGGCAAAAATGAAAAGCATTCTACGCTGATCTTGTCAGGAGGCATTGCTGGTGATGTCAAATGAGAGTCAGGGGCTGGGGAGCTGTCTCAGTTGGCATCTGCCTCACAAGCATGGGTCTGAGCTCATTCCCTAGAGCCCCGATAAAACCTGCATGTAGCAGAGCTTGCTCAGAACCACCGTGATGGTGACATGACAGCTAGAAACTGGGCGAATCCCTGGGAGCTTGCGGGACAGTTAGTCTAGCCTACTCAGGGACATTTTAAGTCAGTGAGAGACCATGTCTTAAAACTAAAGATGGGAGGAGGCGCCCATGGAACAACATTCAAGCCTGTCCTCTGATCTCCACACACATGTACATACACACGCAGGTGGACAGACACACATACACACACACATACACACACACTGAAAGAGAGAGAGATTCAAAATTAGCATTAGACTAGCCAAATCCTTGTCTCAACCTTGTCCTTCTGTCAATCAGCCATATTCCTTAGACACAACATGGTCCCCTAGACTTGTTTCTGAATCTATTATAGAGATAGCAGCACTTGTCCTGCCTGCTTGCTGCCCTGATCTGGACCCTTCCAGGTCTTGTGCACAAACCACTTTAGAGACATGAGAGGTTAACCATACCAAGAGATCCGCCTCCTGTGATTGCTCTTATATGAGGAAGTGGTTGCAGTGAGACACCCAGAATTCTGTAGCCCCCTGTCTTTGGGAAGCACCAAGTGCCTCTGAGGTAAATCCATGAGCAATACCCCGAGCAAGTTTCATCATTCACAAGACTATTGCAATCTTGATTTGAATGAGGTAACTAGAACATGGACCCATACCCTAGTATCCATCTGAGCCAGAAGAAAGAACATATCCCACAGAAAGGCTCACCTCATTACATGTATAAGCAAGGCCGTTCAAGACCAAGGCCTGGGATGGAAATGGGGTTCTGGGGACCACTTTGATTCCTTGCACAGTACCAGCTGCTTCCCCCAGCTCCCTTGAGCCCTCCCTACCACGTTTTCTGGTCTTTGCTGGCAACCGTCCTTAATGTAGATTTATAGAAAGGACTCGTGTTACCCAGATGGTCATTAGCAATGCCTTATGAAGGTGCAGAGGCATTAAGGGTACAAGATCACATTGCCATGTCATGTGAAGGAAGTTCGACAGATTACATACACAGTGCTTTGGAAGGCTGTGGTCAAACAAGCCCAACCATTCTTTGCTAGTGGCATCGAAAAGCCTATCATTCCATTCAGAACTGCAATGTGCAAGTGTAAGTCAAGATCTGTAAAAATATTCAGGCCCTTACAGTAACCTTACCCCCATTCCTGGCCATTTATCTCAAGAAAATACCTCTCTATAAAAAAAAAGAAAGAAAGAAAAGCTCAATACAGTTTTTTTTTTATTACAATGTTAATGGCAGAAACACCTGAATTGAAGTAGCGAGTTAAATTATGGAACTGCAGTTCAAGGAATAATGAGAAATCTTGAGAATGTGAGAAGTGTTTATGAAATGAGCCATTGAATTTAAAACTATACGTGGAAGGCGATTATATATAATATGCATATGAACAAAACCCATCAGGTTTTCACGTGTGGGCTTATGGTGTCTGTATTATGAGCAGTTTATTTTTCATTAGAATTTCTCCTGAAACTGTACTGCAGTATTCACACACAGAAGGCACCAGAAGTGGGAAGAGGGGCCTTTGCCACCATTAGTAAGTAGTGGCTGGTCTTCTTCTCTCCCTCCCCATGGGTTCCCACAAGGGCTAGGCCTCTAGATTCTAGGTGGTAAAATTTTGACTATGGAAATTTTAGCTGTTTCTAAGCCTCAGATTGACAAACAGGTCTTGCAGTGTTTCAGGAAATACTGGGTTCTCTTTAAGTGGATCAAGAGCCAATGGTCGCAATGACCTGTGCTGACAACACATATCTATGAACCCCTTGTTAGCTATAGGCACATGTTCGCGTTCATATTGAGAAGGAACCGCAATGCATCAGCCCATCCCTCTCCTCATCCAGCTTGCCACCACAGAAACTCTAGGCAGGAATAAGGATACCCCATGAAGGCTGACCACGGCAGATAATTACCATCCCTTTCCCCGGCTCTAATCGGTGGTCTCATTTTTATCTCTTTCTCTGGTCTAATCGGTGGTCTCATTTTTACGCTGGCCAGAGGTTGTCCATAGGGACAGTGTAGGAAGTGGGACTGGGGAGGGGGCTCACTTGGTAAAGTGATGACTTCAAAGCATGAAAACCCCCGTTCAGTTCCTAGAACCAATGTAAAGATGCCAAGCATGGTGAGGCATACTTGTAATCCTAACCATGGGGAAGTGGAGACAGCAGGATCCCTGAGGTTCACTAGGCAGCCAGCCGAGCCTGTTTGATGCATTTCCAGCATGTGATAGACTTTGCCTCTAAGGAAATGGACAGCATTTGTAAGGATGACACCTGAAGTTGTATTCTGGCCTCTACACACACACACACACACACACACACACACACACACACACACACACACACACACACACACACACACTTAGAAAAAAAATGTTGAGAAGCAAGCAGAAAAGCCGATGGTCATTTGGCAAATGTTAAGGCACATCTCTGGGCTCTTATTTTAAATTACTATGTTTGCACCCATGTAAATATTCCCCTTTCACCCATGAAGAAACTGACCCAGTGAGTGATTACACAGTATTCTCAAGGTCTCCTGACCAGAAAGTTAATGATGCTAAGTCTGCATCCCTTGTCTTCTCCGTATCTTTCAATAGCATCTTGCCTGAGCTCTCCATTTCTTCATAACTAAGGTCTGTGATTCTTATGGGACCCAGTTTCTCCACAGGATATGAAGAAAGATCTTAGCACCTTCCTCACTTTGTTCCCAGGGACATGCTAGCTGAAAGGAAATCACATTTCAAGTGATAAATAGCCTAGCTCATTACACCAGCATGTTTTCTTGATAAGGAGATCTGCCTGTGTTTATGGGACTTTCAAGTTAAACCTTCAAATAAAGGTGCCAAAACTGTAGCCATGGAGCGGGAGCAACCCGAGGGACTTGGATTTTGTAATGTGTGTCTTCCAAAGGGCTTTCGCTCTGCCCAGAGATGGGCTCTCGTGTCCTGGAACTGGGATCTGGCTTTGTCAGGCAGAGTTCTGAGCCCATCACTCAGTGGAAGTCAGGGCATGGTGCACTGGGGTCACTCACCTGTGCCACACTCTCTATAATTAAAAGGTGGTGAGCATGTCCCCAAGACACTACCTTTTTGTTCTACTGGAAATCTTAGAATCTGGCAATTGGTGAGGACCAATTTCAGTACATCGATGCCAAATCTTCTTCGTGTCCGAAGATGGTGAAGAGACAAAGGATCTCTCTTAGACTTTTTTGTTTTTCTTTTTGCTAAGAACACTAAATCCATTCATACAGGCCCCACTATCACTTTAGGGGTTAGGCTTGAATGGAAGAATTTGAGGAAGACAGAGTGTCTGTCTATAATATATATACAACTTCTTTTGGTTTTATGATTACTTTTAACCTGTTATAACAAGAAGGCAGAAACACGCATACCAAGTTTCAACCTAAGTCACAGATAACTGGATGACTGCCAATGGGCTGCTGAGTAAATGACCTTGGGATCATTTAGGAATATTATTCTAGGCCTGGGAACATTGCTCAGTCAGTTAAGTAGCTGTCACATAAGTCGAGGACCTGAGTTTGGATCCCCCTCTCCCACATAAACACCGGGCACAATGGCCCCTGTATAATTCTAATGCTAGGATGGCAGGGATAGGAAAGGCCTTGGAACTTAGAGTCAGTGAAAGACCCTGTCTCAGAAATAAGGTAGAGTGAAGCTGAGGAAGACATCTGACATTGACTTCTGCCCTCCTCCTCTCTCTCCACCCAGTCAATAGACAGGTGTATACCTGTTATGCAAGATATTCCATTAGCAACTCTGTTCCTAGCCTTTATTTTATACAGGACCAGATCCTGTGCCCTCACTGCACTGTGTGGGTCCAGCCACACTGAACTGCCCCAGATTGTGCATTGGCTCAAGAAGGGTAGTCACATACATTCCTCTGTCCCCTAAGGAGACACAATGGTGACACATATAAGAGGTGACATCCCGAATAACCCCAAGCCCATGTGTATATTGTCCAAGCTCTTTCCCTCGGAGTCCTTCACCACAAAACCACGGGCAGAGATTCCCTGGGTGGTAAGTCAAAGACGACATCTGTCCAGTTTGCTGTCCCACTTATACATTCCCTCTGCACAAGCTGGGTGCTAGACACCTGGGTGCTAGATCTAGCTAGGGTTGAGGTCACAAAGGTAACCACAATGCAAGCAGTTCTTAACCTTGAGGGAAGAAGGCAAGCACTGATTAAATCCTATCTGTAAGCTTACGAGGTGTTACCAGGGAGATTGTATGGTCTAAAATCTGCCATCACTCTTAAACCCGTCTCTACTGTTATTCTCACTCTCAAAACATTACAGTCTGGAAAAAAGCATGAGACATCATTTTCAGGGACCTTACATGAGCAACCCACGTCAAGATGATTGAGTCGGCTCAAAGGAAAGGCTGGTGGGTAGTAGAGGGAACCTTTCGTGATTGCAAGGCACTAAAACTCGGTACAACACCTATGTCTCAGCTGGCCCACCTGGGATGCCAATGCAGGAAGATCTGGTGGATTTCCTCCCAAGAATGGCGAGGGTGTTCATTGGTCTGGCCGTTCTTAAGTAATCTGCTGAGCTGGTGTCCCTCATGCACATCCCTTACCCTCCTATGGTTATTCTTCCTTGGAACAAAAGCACACTGCTCTAAGTATAGGCTTTATCTAGTCCTTCTAGCTCAAGTTATTTAAGGGAGAAAAAATACACTTAATTTCTAAACTTATCTTGGCACCACAGTTGCAGTCAATTTTTAGACTTGGGGCAAAAAAAAGTAGAAGAAGAAGAAAACCTATTAGTAATTTTCTAAGGTAGGATCTAATGGACAGCAACAAATAGCTCTGGGCCTGTTAATTAAAATGGAGTGATAAGAATCTTTTTCTCCCCTCCATCTCTTTTTACGTAGGACAGTCAGCCCTGAACTCAAGTCGTATGCGCTGGGAGTACTTTTTCTCCTCCTTCGTTTGTTGGGTACGTATTATCTCTCTTTTCTCCTCCATAATGAATTGGATGTGTTTTTCCAGGTGAGTGAGGATTGATGATATTGTCCCAATTCCTGAGTTGGCCTCTTTTCCTATGATGTTTATTTACTGGTGTCCTACTTTCGTTTCCTGCTGCAGTGATGAAACACCCTGACACAAGCAATTTTAGAGGATAAAGGGGTTTATTTTGCTTACAGTTCCAGATTGCTGTCCGTCATTGCCAGAAGTCAGGGCAGCAGGAACTTGAAGGAGCTTCCCGTTAAGAAGGCCCTGAGCAGCCTGAGCTATGCTTTCTCCATGGGCTGCCTGCTCCCGTAAGAGGTTGCGTCCATAGTTGAGAGTAGAGAGTACATACATGCTCATGTTCAGTTCACACATTTCCCATCTGTGTAATGTCGAGGACCCAAGTTCCATGGAATAGTGACAGTCACAAGGAGTGGCTCTCCCCACTTCAAATAACATGACCAAGACAGTTCACCACAGCCAAGCACATAGGCCAACCTGATCCGGACGACCCTGCGTTGAGACTCTTTTTCCTGGGTCATCTAGGTTTGTCACATCGATAGACTTAGAGTAACCATCACTTTGAATCTGGAAACTTCAAGTTCAGACACCACCATTCTAGACCCCTCCGTTTTCACAGGTGTCATATATTACCAACTCGGGCCCTCATGTCACCCTGAATTTTCATTAGCTAAGGAGAAAAGACGGTGGCACCAAAAAGGAGAATTTTAGCAGTTCAATTTGGTCCTAGTTTGCTTTCTATTGCTGAAATAAGCACCATGGCCAAAAGAAACTTGGGGAAGGGAAGAAAGGGTTTATTCGGCATACATGGATCACAGTCTATCGTTGAGGGAAGCTGAAGGCAGGAACTGAAGCAGGGGCAGTGGGTGAACACTGTTTGTAGTCCTGCTTGGTTTCCTTCCTTATACAATGTGTGGCCGCATGCAAAGGAGCGACACCGTCAACAGTGGTCTCACTGTAGGCCTACTCAAACCAATCATCAGTCAAGAAACTGTCCCACAGACTTGCCTAGAGGTCAGCCCAATAGAACATTGGTCGAAGTCGAGGTTCCCTCTTTCTAGATGACTCTAGCTTGTGTCAAGTTGACAAATATCAAGGATATTCGATGCTATAAGGAAAACAATATATTTATTTACCAGAGAGAGAGAGAGTCGCACAAACCAGGAGTTAGAAGCGTGGCTGGCTTCCAGGAGAAAAGGGAGGTTCCTTTTCCTTTCACTTCCTTTTATATCTACCTGTGTCAGTTTACATGTCCCTGCCCTCATGGGTGGATAGCTTTGTGGGGTCCACTCCTACAGACAAAGACACTTCCCATTATGAAGGCCCTGAGCAGCCTGAGATAGGCTTTTCTCTATGGGCTGCCTGCGTCCACAAGAGGCCACAAACCCATCACCTTGCAGCCTTTCCAGTTTGTAAAAAAAACCATTTTCCATCACCACAAATGTCCAACAGCAGGGAATTAGTTCAGTCAGTGATGGTCTGTAATCCTGGTGGGAGCCACGCCCCCTTTTAAGTTCTTGGGAGAAGACTATTTATAGACTTAGAAAGGACCCATGACATGTGGCCTACTCTCCAGTATATTCAGATGATTATAAAGTATGTATACATACGGAAGAATATTGGGAGTATGAACATCAAAGTGGTACCAGAGAGTTTTAAGTAATAGGATTATATATTTTCTAAATTGAAACTTTCGAATTATCTAGAAATATATATTACATCTATAATGCTGTCAATTTCGACGTAACTGCTACATGCCTAAGGAGTGGGAGGACTCCTCGATAAAGGAAACACATGCCATTAAGTTTCTCCCCCCACAGTCTTTGGTAATAATTGTCCCCATCGTCATCCCCGTTCCCTGTGGAGCAGATGTCAGGACCGTCCACCTGATCAGTGTGTGTGGATGCACTGTGGGGAATAGAAACGGCTTCTTTGTCTTATTTCTGCCTCATGGGAAATAGAGATATGTAGCTGTGGAGATGCCCCAGATGAAAAACATTAATCCATCTTTCAAATTAAAACATGTGGGGGTTCTGGGAAACCATGGCAGCCTGAAAACTCCTACCACCATAGATAGAATGATACTGATCTTTTTCTTGTGTCATTGGAAGTGGAGGCGCATATATCATTGCCCCCTCCCTCAGTGCTCAAGCAGCTCAAGCATGGATGAACATGACATACCAGTAAGTTAGAGATCCTCCTTTTGGGTAGTGGCAGAACCATTCCACAGAGACTTATGCAACACGATGACATTTCCTGAGCACCCAGGCCATACCAAGACAGGCAACCACAACCCTGCCCTTGAGAGTTTCAAGGCTCAAAGGAAAGTGGACATTTACCCTTATCTGTAGAGTTTCTGCATCTCTAAACCATGTTAAGGACTCCCCACATGGTCTAAAGCACTAAGGCTAGGGAAATATCTTGGTCAGTAAAGCACTTGCCTCACAAGAATGAGGACCTGTGTTCAGACCCCCATATAAAAAGCTAGGTGCATGCCAATAATTCTGACAATGGTGACTCAGGAAATAGAGGCTTGTGGATCCCTGGAAACACTAGGCCAGCACCTAGCCCAGCAATTCTCAGCCTGTGGATTATAACCCCTTTGGAGGTTGAACAACCCTTTTCTAGGGGTCACATAATCAGATACCCTACATTACAGATATTTTCATCATGATTCATAACAGTAGCAAAAATAATCCTATGGTTGGGGGGGTCACCACAACAGGAGGAACTGTATTGAAGGGTCATAGCACTAGAAAGGTCGGGAAGCCCTGCTTTAGAATACGTGGAAGAGTTCCAAGCCAGTGAGTGACCCCCATCTCAAACAAAATTGGGGAGGTGTCTGAGGACCAGCACCCAAGAATAGAGAGGGACATACCAACAGGTTAGACAGCCTCCCTTTAGAAAGTAGTAGAACCGCCGGGCGTTGGTGGCGCACGCCTTTAATCCTAGCACTCGGGAGGCAGAGGCAGGCGGATCACTGTGAGTTCCAGACCAGCCTGGTCTACCAAGCGAGTTCCAGGACAGCCTCCAAAGCCACAGAGAAACCCTGTCTCGAAAAACCAACAACAACAAAAAAAAGATAGTAGTAGAACCATTCCATGATAGCTATGCAACAAGCTAATATTTCCTTAGCACCTCTGGTATTCTGAGCTCCCAGGCCAGGGCAAGATGAATATACACATCTTTGCAAAAACAGTATTCTTCATAATAACCTTGATAATTCAAAATTGTAAAAGATTAAGACATTTCTGAAAACTGAAGACCAAACTGAAGACTGAGGTATCATAAGTGATGGATGCACTTGAGATAATCCCTCACTACTCTGAAGCCGACTCAGAATCTGTCTGCCTGCCTCGGGAAGAGCAGGCGCCATCAGGAACCGGGATTTTCCCATTTCTGTGACTGTAAAGCCAGAACAAGAGATAACTTTATCGTTGTGGCCCATTACACACATGCATATGCATAGATATAGCTGAAACAAAAATTTCATGGAAAAAACTTTTGGTATGTATAACACATTCAGGTATTTTCTATTCTACTCCATGCTTTCTGAAAAGTTGGTCATGACCCAGCATATTGATTGTGTTGCCCATTATGGGTCACAAATCAGTTTGGGAAGAACCCCGTGATAAGAGGATATGACACTGTCTCATCTTTTAATTAAAAGTGGCTTAGCAGAAAAGTCTTGGCATCTGGCCTAATTCCATCTCCTCCAGAACCCAGTAAGATTAACAGCCATTATTGTTAATGCCAGACCAGTGAATAAATCAGATCCCATGACACTGCCAAAACCCTCGTGGTGCCCCATGTGGGAAATGGGAATACAATGGGGACATTGAAGTTGAGTGTGACAAGGTCTGTGATGGAACCTGCACCAGGACAACTGTCACTTGGGGAAAGAATGGCCACCTAGCTTTTGCCTTGGGATTCGGGCATGGTGTCCTGAGCAGGGAATAAGTAAGGGATATAACATTGTACAGGACGAGGAAAGAGCACTTACAGGGATGAAGCTTACAGGTCGCTGAGAACTCAGTAAGGGAAGTGGGATGGAGCAGGGGCAGCATCACATCGGGCAGTGACGGTGGCGAGCTGGAAACTTGATGAAAAAGGTCTCCTGTCTCTTGGGTGACTTTGACCTTTATCTTTAAGGCAAGTAGAAGCTGATAGATAGGCTTTCCAAAGACTGGGACAAGAGCCACTGTGTGTCTCAGAAAAGGATTCTGTCTAAGGACCAAGTAGGTATAGTCAATTAGAGTTAAGAGAGGGTTTTGTGTTGAAATAGTGGAGTTAAATATTAATTCATGGCTTGGTCTCTGAATTGAAGTTCATTTGGCTCTCCACCTCTGCAAATTTCAAATAGACAAATTTCAAATAGACATTAAAAGAAAAACAGAGTGTCCATACTAAGCATGCCCACACTGGCTTTCCATGTTACTACTTCTGAAACAATAGTATAAGCTGCTTAACATCGCATTTACATTGTATTGTGTATCTCAGACAATCCAGGAATGGTCTAAAGTATGCAGGAAGATGGTTTGGCGACACAGGTGTTTGAGAGAGGCAGATGACCCAAGGGGCAGACGAGGAGAGGCATGGACCATGGCTGGGCTGTGCTAGGGCGACAACAGAAATGTTCTATATCTGCATCATATGTGACTTTTGAGCAGTGGAAACATGGCTTGTGTGGACTGCTTTATTTTATTCTTACCGGTATCATTTAAGTAGCAACATGTGGCCAGTGGCTGTCCTACTCAACAGGGATATATAAGGGCCAGACATTGATACATCAGGGCAGAGGGAGGTAGGTTAGCATGGAAGACCACACTGGGTAGAGAAAAATGGCAGGATGCAGAAGTGAAGGTAGCATTGGTTTCCTGTGTTACTTGAGACCCTAGTGGAGAAGAGCTGGCAGGCAGAGCAGGGACCTCAGTGGCACTGCGGGCTGAGAACTTCCCTAGTAGT